CTTATTACAGCCTGCCACTGACTATCAATGTTGGGGGTTATTCTTACAGCCTGCCAGTAGCCACCAATGCTGGGAGGTTACTACCACTGACCACCAACCATTTACACCAGTACTGGGGGATATCATTGTTGCATATACTAAGAAGTGATACCCACTTTATTGGACACATCTCCAGGAATGCAGCAGGCAGTGCAATGCACAACCAATTTTTCATCTTGAACAAGGGGCGGATCCAGAGTCTAGTCTCGGGAGGGGCACTGCTATAAAATAAGCCCCCCCCCCATCTGGCTCTTCCACTGCTACTGTGCCACCCCCTTACTCTCTCACTGCCTATGTGTCCGCTGCCCCCCCGGCTATCCCCCTCTCCTCCCGGGGTACAGCGCACTCACCCGGCCTTTCCTTCTGGGATCTTTCTGCCGCTGCCAGCCTTGGGCGCTCTGTACTTACACAAATGAGACAGCTGCAAAGCTCCAGCGTAGGCTAAGGCGGCCGCCGAATTTGCCTGACTACAGTGCAGCCTCTGCTTTGGGTCCCAATTGTTCGGTGCGGCCAGCCGGGCCCAGCAGAGTGGCGGAGGGAGCGATAATAATAAACGCAGAGCGCGGAGGCCAGTAATGTGACGCAGAGCGTGGAGGCCAGTAAGGTAACGCAGAGTGTGGAGGCCAGTAATGTATGTAGTCAAGAACCAGCTGCACTCCTTACCGGAATAGTAGTATACCTGCCAAGCAGGTGGGTGCTTGTAGTGACCACGGACGGCCCCGTGAACAATGCAGATCTAGAAAGGATTGTCACCAGCACACCAAAAGTTTTGAAGCAAAAAGTCCTTTATTGACAAATCGCCATCCAATACTAGTGCTTCAAAACTTTTGGTGTGCTGGTGAAAATCCTTTCTAGAGGCCAGTAATGTGGCGCAGAGCACGGAGGCCAGTAATGTGACGCAGAGCACTGAGGTCAGTAAGGTGACGCTGAGCGCGGAGGCCAGTAATGTACGTCCCGGGGGGGGCGATGCTTATGATCCCCGCACAGCGGCCGGGACATACAGCTGTCACAGAGTTTACTGCGGTTGAGTGTAAAAAAATGGCATTGTACTTGTAGTGTTCCGGTTTCTTACATTGAACCACAGCTAACTCTGTGACAGCTTGACAGCTGTATGTCCCGCGGTTGTGCGAGACACTTTTGGAAAGTATATTTTCCTTTTGACATTTGACCTGTCCTTTGTAAAGATAGAATGGGTGTTATTTTTGGCCCTTTGTCCACTTAGGTTGACTCAAACACCATTTTATTATAGATGGAGATATTATTTATTTTACATTACAGCAAATGCAATTGTAATCATGAAGATTATACAATCAAAACTGAAATCACATCCCTAAAATCTTTCTGAGATAGAAGAAGCTATTGGGTAATTTAGCAATTCAGAGTTCACCTGAAAATATCAGTTATGAGTGGACTGAACCTTTAAACAGTATGATGAATGTTAAAGAATACCTATTTTTAATTTTAAAAAAGGGGAGAGGTTTGAGTTGACCTAGTGGGGACAATGAAGTTTGGAGGCGATATCTCTGATAGCTATCTACTAATGAGGAGGCATAATAAGGCTATATTCATACCTAACCATTGAGGTGTGTTGTACGTTGCTGTGTATTGCGCTGCAGTGCACCTCCATCAGTAAGGTGTGTTGGGGTGCCATTCAGAATGCCAGTTGTTGGAACGCGCACGATCCTGTGCACTATGCTATTTGCAATGGTGCAATTCAGAATGCACCACTGCTGTGTATTGCGGTAATGAAACCAAATGAAAAACAAGCATGGTTCTGTAGAGCAGACAATAAATACCATAAGGTTCACTGCACTTACGATCTCCAGTTCGGAAGAAGTAAATAGCTTTCTGCAACTTCTTTTGCTCATCCGACATAGCAGTCACTGCCGGGTTATTTTGAGTAGTCTCCACCATGTTTAGACGATACCTCTATTATATCTGCAGAATATAACACATAAAGAGACAAGTCTGTAGGCTGAACGGGCATTTCACAGACTGTATGGAAGAGCTACTGAGCTTGTATATGAATACTTGATGTAAACATGGTACATGCCTAATTTGTCATAATATCAGGTACAGAAAATCATATTGTATGTTACAGCCTTATTCAACTAGGGTGTAATGGCATCCTGGGGTGCCTTCTGTCTTGCTCAGGGCTGCCTTGAAATTTGTGCACAATGTCATGCCTTTCTATGGTGCAGGCAAGCTTCTTATGTGAAGGGATGGAATCTGATATAAAAGGGAGACTCTGATCTGAAGGGGGAACTCTGATCTAAAGGGGGAACTCTGATCTAAAGGGGGAACTCTGATCTAAAGGGGGAACTCTGATCTAAAGGGGGAACTCTGATACAAAGGGAAACTCTCATGTAAAGGGGAACTCTGATATAAAGGGAGGACTCTGATCTAAAGGGGGAACTCTGATCTAAAGAGGGGCTCTATTGTAACGGGCAAGCAAAACAAATGGCTGCACTATAGACAACTAAGTCCAGATGAATGTTTTTACCAGATATACAGCGCTAATCATTCAATTAGAAATAATTATAACTAACTTTGTGATTACCTATTCAAATATATATACCATCTATTATTCCGTCTAAAATCTACCATCCGTGATGTGATTGTGAACAAATAAATAAATCTATAAGTGATCGATCAATTCGTGGAGGCCACTCTATGTATTAGAAGTTAACCTCGTGAAAAAAAAGCGTAATTTGTGCCAGAAAGATTGGGTCTAGTAGTAGGATAGATAGTTGTCACTCAATCCTTGCGTATGTAATGAATCCCAATCAATGTGTATGAATTATTAATTTATATTCAGCTAATATTGGTTTAATATATACAAAAAGTGATTCCTCTATAAAGTAAGTGAAAACCTTTTTTTTTTTAAATGTGCAAAAATGACAAAATCCCTATACATCAATATTCTTGTATATACTGTATGTTCATATAAAAGATTAAATTGTACTCTATCCATAGATACACCAGTGCTTGCTGGTGAGTGTGCCTGGAAACTTTTTGCTGTTCTATTGTAACAGGGACTCTGATATGAAAGGGGGGCTCTGATGTAAAAGGTGGACTCTGATGTAAAGGGGGGACTCTGACGTGAAGGGGGGACTCTGATGTGAAGGGGGGACTCTTATGTGAAGGGGGGCTCTGATGTAAAGGGGGGCTCTGATGTAAAGGGGTGCTCTGATGTAAAGGGAGGCTCTGAGGTAAAGGGAGGCTCTGAGGTAAAGGCGGAGGCTGATATGAAAGGGGGACTAACTCTGATATGAATGGGGACTCTGATATGAAAGGGAGGCTCTGATATCAAGGGGGACTCTGATGTGAAGGGAGACTCTTTAACCACTTCCTGCTAGCAACACACATATATACGGCATTGTGGAAGGGGGCTTTCTTCCATGGCTCAGCATATATGTGGCATGTGTTTGTGCTTGGAGCACACTCGATCGCTCGCCCCCAGCACCAAGACTGAGCTGTCACCAACACCTCCTGATCTCAAACTAACAATCATGTGATCACTGTGATAGCCGATCCCTGTGAAGTGAAGACTCCCTTGTACTGTTTCTACTCAGTAAGGAGAAGTCTGTGTAAAAAAAAAAAGAAGGTCTATTTATAAACAATTCACAGAACCATTTGCCCTGTGAATCTCTGAATGTTCATTCTGTGCAAACAAAAAATGTGCAAAAGAGGCAAAAATGAATCTACTTGGTAAATGTTCTTTTTGGGTTAAATGTAGTACCACCTTTTAGCCACTAGATAGAGCTGAGGAGCACCGAAAATAAATACTTATTATTTCATATGCTCCTAACCTCCATCTAGAGGCCATAAGTCAGTCTTACATTACATTCGACCTAAAAAGAAAATATACAAAGAACGTTCATTTTTTCTTCTATTTGCACAGAATGAATGTTCCCAGAGAGTCACAGGGTGAATGGCTCTGTGAATTGTTTATAAATAGACGCCTAAGTAGTTGCAAAGATGTATACAATATTACTTACACATGCCAATATTGTAAAACTAGGTTCAGACGTTAGGATTTATTTTATCTTTATTATTAAGGGGTTAATGGTCACCACTCTATATCAGCAAATCCATTATTTACTATGGAGGTTCATACTACATTTTACTACTAAGCTTACATTCACCACATATTCACGTACATTCATTTGCAACAATCACCAGCAAACTTTATTATACTAGTGAAGGCTGCCAGCCAATAGCAGAGAATTTAGGTAAATGTACCCGGGCTTATGCAGGCTTTAAAGAGCTCACTATCATTCTTTTTTACCGGTCATATTGGTAAAATAGTGGCTGGAGAAAACTCTGCTATAGGAGGAAGCTATTAACATTGATTTATCACCTGACCTGTGTGTTTATTAACCCAAATATATAATCTGACATTATTTAGATATCATCACCATGAAGATTAAAGGAAACAACAATGTGTATTATAATACATAAACTGCAATCAACTAGTAAGAAAAATAAAAAAGGTTTCACTATTCCAAGACTAAACTTGTTTGCTGGAAATAGCGACAAGGAAATTAAAAAAGAAAGAGGAATGTAATGTGTATGTATAAATGTTAATATTTTCTACACACACAACAACAACAAAAAACTTCTGACACGTTCTATTTCTAATAAATGGAAACATAATTTTAGTAATTTTAGTATAAAATAGTTCGATATCATTGATCATAATTTTATTATCTGTGATGGATCTAATGTTGCTTCTACTGTCACAATCAAATACATCAAACAAATATACCAGAAAAAAAACAAAAAAACTTGTAAAGTTCACCCAAAGTGGTCAGTTATTCATTCTAACCTATAAAATGTAACCCTTAGTCTAACCCTCAACTTAACCCAGGGGTAGGCAACTCTGCCCCCCCAGCTGTGCTTTAACTACAAATCCCAACATGCTTCTGCCTCTGGGAGTCATGCCTGTAACTGGCAGTCTTGCAATGCCCCATGAGACTTGTAGTTCCCCAACAGCTGGAGGCTTGGAGTTGCTCCCCCCCTGACCTAACCTCAAAACTTGATTGACCTCATAACAATTAGTGCTTAGCATAGCTCTTTTAAAAAAAATCCCACATGTACTTGTCAATAGATTATATAACTTTGCAGTGGAGGATTATGAAAAGATCTTAAACTTGGCACTACGTGTCATCCTTATTTAAACTCTACACTGCAATTATGAACTTGAGGTCTTTGGTGTTTATTGCTATCACATGACTTCAGGAAGATGTTATTGCCACATCCTGACCTTATTATGAAAGAGGAAGTTCACCCCCTGCTTTTATATAACCCCATCTTACCTGTTAGGGAGGGTTGTCCTCAATTTACATACTCACCTGCCCAGGGAATCCAGCGTTGTCCTGCTGTGACCTGCTGCTACACAACCACAGCCCGAGTCCAACGCCACAATCTTGGTCCTTCAAAGTCATTGGGAGCTGGCCCTCTGCTCTGGGTTCAGGCAAGTGGCCCCCAATGATGTGGACTTCTGTGTGTTTCTACTTCTGCAGCCTCTTGGGATTTATGAGGAGGCTGTGTGAGCAGGAACGTCATTCTGGCCTAGAGAAGAATGGCAGTGGGAGGACGGGACTGGCATATTAATAAAAAAGTAACAAAAATTAATTTGCTATGCTCCTTGGCTCCATCTTGTGGCGGGAAAGCGGTGTGACTGTAAAAGTCAGATGTTCGCAGAGCGAACTGCTCTGCAAACATTTTATAAATACACCCCAAAGCCATGGGAAGTCCAACAGTACTGTCAAGATCCACCCAGCTGGCTGATTGACAGTGGGCTCTGCCTATCTAGAGGCAGAGCCAGCTGTGCCCACCCCCTCCCTGTCCGTTCCTCCCGTCAGCGCTGGAGGATCGGAGAGGGGGGAATCCCTGCGATGACTAACAGTCACCGCTCTCTGCAGGGAGATGATTGGGATGTGAGCGATTGGCGGTATGTGTTCGCTCACTTTCTGATCAATAGAGCCGACCTGTGACAGTTTAATTGTCACACGTCGGCTCTAACTATAAGGATGAGTGGAAATCACTCACCTCATAGTTCCCCTTTTAAGAATTGTCTAATGTTCTTCAGCACGTACACAAAAGCCATGATGTCCAAGGCCATCAATTTGAACATTGAGTGTAATAAATACAATTAGGTAAGCTAAGAACAGCAATCGCCATTGTCCAGTTGATTGACAGAAAAAGAGGTACACAGTTGCACCAAGATATCGGCTCTGTGTGGGGTAATTAGGTCTAAGTTGGCACTGAGCCAACATCTTGATGTAACTGTGTATTTCTTTTTCTGTCAATCAACGTCACACTGGCGCGTTTCGTTTCTTAGGCCTCGTTTACATGTGCACTGAACATTAACACAGATATCCTTTAATGTTTTGGCTGTTTTTAGGAGTGCCCCTTTTTATAAGAACATAGCAGCTGCCTATTTCGGTGATTTTCATTACACTGAGCTCCGCACCACTGTGAAATTTTACCATTTACTGTAATCAAAATTTGCAAAACATGCTTGCCTATGGATCCAGAGACCCTGTATACTAGTCCTGTATACTAGTATAGAATGCTTATGTGTTGCACTAAATATTTGTGTATTAAAACATGAATAAGACAAGATATCACAGTACACCCGCTCAGAACTGCTAGACTTGCCAGGCTGGCATTTAGAATTGTAATGTGCACATAATTTCCATCTGACATGTACAATATTTGACAGATACAAGCCTAATGTGATGTAACTTTCCCAGATAAGGCTGACACACTAGAAAAAGAGCAGATTTGTACACAACCTCCCCCTGCCTGCTGTTATCAGTATGATCTCTGTTTCTTTGCTCACCTCCATATCTCTGTGTGGGGTGTATGTACCGTAGGTCACTCTGTCTGACCCACTCAATTCC